CAGGCCCTTATAGTGGGCCGGGGGCGGTGTTTGAGAACGAGACGGGTGTGCTGGGGTCGGAAGAGGCGGCTGTCTGCTTAGAGTAGCAGAGAGCTGCTCTAGAATTAATCTAACCTGCGGTGTAGAGAGACAGTAGCTGTAGAGCCGATGAGAGCTGCTTCTGGGTGGATAAGCCAGTCTTCCATGTTGCTTGACGATTGAGAGCGTGATCTGTTTCTCCTCCATCCTGTGTGGTGCAGATCTCGGTCACCATTTGTAGGGTATGAGATATTTGGTGTTCCTCCAGGATGGAATGGAGAAAGAAACTCACAATGTGCTCTGTACAGGTTGTATTGGGTGTACAATGCGGCTTGGTGCTGGGAAGGCAACATGGTTACAAGCGTGATGTAGAGAGCTGGTTGGTGAGGGAGTGCTCAGAGGAGGACAGCTTGTGGGTCGCCATGCTCGCTGGCGGTAGCGAATGCCGCAGGCAGCGGCGGAGGAAGGTGGTGTAGCTTGCTGCTGCCGCCTTCAGCTAGAAGAAGAGTTGGTTGGTGAGAGTGCTCAGAGGAGGACCAGCTTGTGGGTCGCCATGCTCGCCAGCAGCGGAGCGAGACCGCCAGGCAGGCGGAGGAGGTGTTGCTGGCTGGTTGGTGTGGGTAGAAAGAGGCGGGTCACCACGAGGTCAGGTCTTAAATAGCGGGGTTGGCGTGGCTTAGTGGTTGACCCCGCTCCGTAGGCGGCGCTGGTTGACCCTAGACCACGAGGCTTTGCTGAAATTCGTGGGGTCGGCTGCTCGGCGACAAACAGCGTTTGTAGGGGAGGAAATCCCGCTACAAGGTGTCAATATCATTCTACCACAGTATTTACCTTTTGTTCTTGAGATACAAATAGGAATCATCATTACTGAACCTATCAAGCTACCACCTGTGTAAGAGGATGACGATTAATTATCTGTGCAAGTAAATAACTAAGAAACAGATAACAGAGGAATTAAATAAATAAAGAAATATATACTTAAGAGAAGATGAAGTAGAAAGTAAAACAAACCAGTAGAAAAAAACACAAATACGTATAAAGAAAGAATAATAAATAAATAAAAATAAAAATAAGAGAAGCAATTTGCTCCCATACAAATGGTGACAGTGGTGTAGATATTAACTCCCCCCCCCATAACTTACAACTGATCATTAACAGCAATTCACCTCTCTAACATTAACCTAACAAGAATAACTAACTCACAAATGCATGAGGTTTAATTATCCATTAACACCAATAATTACCTTTTCATTCCTTACTGCCATTGGTCACCAGGATACAAGATTATAAGGGTGACAGGACCGGGAGGAAGGACTGGGGAAGACCCACTTATAGGATTCATAGATGGCGCTGACCTCTCTCTCTCTCTCTCTCTCTCTCTCTCTCTCTCTCTCTGTACCTTTTTTTATCATTATATTGATTACATTAGGAACAAACAAACGCCTTAATAATCACATTCTATTCAAAATCCTAATAACTATAAATATAAAATAACTGACAAAACATATCAAAATATTTACACTAAAACTCCGTAAAGAAATATTATGTTTGAAAGTATAGACTAAACCAGTACTATATAAGTGAAGGTAGACGGGGCACTTCAGATTAAACTAATAGACATTGGCTGGTGGGAAAACGTCGAGAGAGTCAACCATGCGTGTGTGTGTAGTGGTGAAAGTCTTGGAGGAGTGACTGTCTCAGGGTAGCTCAGCAGTCCAGCAACAGTCCTGCCGTCGGTGTGTAGTGCGTCAGGTGTGTGTCTGTGGTGAAGCGAGTGGTGTTATCTCGTGCGCTACCCACCCACCTATACCACGCCTCTGATACTGTACCCGGGTTTAATACAACATTGTTATTGGTAGATTACTGTGTATTTGTGGCATTGTAGATTAATGTGTGTTTGTGTCATTGTAGATTAATGTGTATGTGCGTGTAATTGTGGATTAATGTGTCAGTCATTGTAGATTAGTGTGAATCATAACTCAATAAAATTCAATAAGTTGTTTTCTGAGAGATTAGAAGATTAGAAACGACGATCATTCATCAACCAATCCAACAGGACAGTCGTACGATAACCGACCCAGTACGATACAACGCGACTTTGGATCGATAAGATGACAATACTGTTTTTAATTCACGAGCGCATCCCTCAAACTACGTCCCGGGTTCGTTCTCCAGCCTGGGACAGACGGAGAGGGTTTGTTATCCAGTGTGACCCAAACATATATGGCAGGTCTTTTCTACAGGTACTATAGTTTCCTGTAAAATATAGATAATATAGAACTTAAGAGACCAACAAACAACAAAGTGAATGGTTATTAAACTGATGAGTTGTGGAATAATAAAAGAAACATATAATTATTTACGTCAATAATTCATAAATGCTTCAAAAGTGTAATTACTATTTTTATCTTTACATTTATTAGAAAAAATATAAAATAAACTTATGAAATATATTAAAAAACGAAACAAAGAGGAAAAATATATTCCTTATCGATAAATGATCCAAGATTGACTTTGAAAATTTAACCAGTGAAGTAATGACACTCAAAGCATATTTATAGATACAATAACGGACAAAAATCAAGAAACATATGACTATCAAGTGAAGAGTTGAAGAGCCTGTGTTAAGCTTGTGAATCTATACGGCGTGGCTGTTCCTGTGTTACCTCCCATGTGGTGATCCTCCTGAGGTAAGTGTGTGTGTTAGAGAGAGACCCTAGTATTTACAATTTCTCCCCAGCTGCTCTCTCTCTCTCTCTACTGTCTTTCGCTCTAATCGCTTTATTTATCTTTCTTCTATCTTTTTCTTCTTTCTTCACACACACTTTCTTTCTCTCCTTTCCTCACACACTCATTTCCTCTCTCTCTCTGCCAGTCTGTCTGTCTCTACCTACCTACCAATGATATCTCTCACACTAAGGCAAAACCCGTCACACACACACACACACACACACACACACACACACACACACACACACACGTCTACTTTTTACAGTAATAAGTATTGATGAAATTCCAGTTCATATACTTTATGTAGGTCAAGGGTGTGTAGGCTTAATATGTAAGTGTATGTATGTATGTATGTGTGTCATGTACGTGTGTATAATATGTAAGAGTATATATATGCTAATGTGTTTGTAAAAGTGTGTGTGTGTGTGCGAAATTATAAACTTAAAAGGCAATTGCAACACGAAATACACACACACAGACGTACATACACATAAAAAACGTACATTCACAAAGGAAGAGAGGCATAGACAAACAAACGTACATGTACACACACACACACACACACACACACACACACGGCCGTGAAAGCAACACTGACCTACAATATAACTATCATTAAACGGATTTTCACAAGATACCTCTGTATGGTGGGATACTGACAGCTAAACAACCTGAAAAACAACCACGCTCATAACTTCACAACCACACAACCTGAAAACCAACCACACTCATAACTTCACAACCACATAACCTGAAAACCAACCACGCTCATAACTTCACAACCACACAACCTGAAAAACAACCACACTCATAACTTCACAACCACACAACCTGAAAACCAACCACGCTCATAACTTCACAACCACACAACCTGAAAACCAACCACGCTCATAACTTCGCAACCACACAACCCGAAAACAACCACACCCATAACTTCACAACCACACAACCTGAAAACCAACCACACTCATAACTTCACAACCTCATAACCTGAAAAACAACCACACTCATAACTTCACAACCACACAACCTGAAAACCAACCACACTCATAACTTCACAACCACACAACCTGAAAACCAACCACACTCATAACTTCACAACCACACAACCTGAAAACCAACCACACTCATAACTTCACAACCACATAACCTGAAAACCAACCACGCTCATAAGTTCACAACCACACAACCTGAAAACCAACCACACTCATAACTTCACAACCTCATAACCTGAAAAACAACCACACTCATAACTTCACAACCATACAACCTGAAAAACAACCACACTCATAACTTCAAACCACACCACCTGAAAAACAAATCCACTTGCTAACTTCACAACCTCACAACCTGAAACCAACCACTCACAACTTCACAACCACACACCTGAAAAAACAACCACACTCATAACTTCACAACCTCACAACCTGACAAACAACCACACTCATAACTTCACAACCACACAACCCTGAAAACAAACCACACACTCACAACCTGGAAAACAAATCACACACTCACAACCTCAAAACTCAAAAACAACCACACTCACAACCTGACAATTTGCATAACCCCACAGCCACCAACTTACAACAAACGTCCTCACAATCCCATAGCAAATAAACCACAATTACAACTTTATAACTGAATCACACACACACACACACACACACACACACACACACACACACTGGGAGCGCTGATCGTCCTACATACAACGCATACCTACTTCTCTCTCCCTCCTACCCTCCCCCTTTTCTCTCCCCCCTCCCCTCTATCATTCATCCTCCCCCTTCTCCCTCCACTTTCTCACACACCCTCCCTCCTCCTCCTCCTCCGCTCACCTCCCTTCTCCCCTCCCTCCCTCTGTCCTTCCATTCATCCTCCACCCCCTATCCACCCACATTCCCTCCCTCCCTCCCTCTTGCCAATCCTCCGTCTAGGAATGCATAGATTCTCACGTTGTTATGGACATAGGATTCTAACGTCACAATGAACTACTCTTTCTCTCTCTCTCTTTCTCTCTCTCTCATCGACTCTTTTTGTTACCTATAAAATACTTGTATAAGAATCAATTTGGTTATGATTCTCAAAGGTTCCTAAGTTCAATTTTCCTCCTAACTGGTGATGTGAGAACGTATCTAACTCACTCACTTAAGATACCACACAAAGATGGATTCTCAAAGGTTCCTAAGTTCAATTTTCCTCCTAACTGGTGATGTGAGAACGTATCTAACTGACTCACTTAAGCTACCACACAAAGATGGATTCTCAAAGGTTCCTAAGTTCAATTTTCCCCCTAACTGGTGATGTGAGAACGTATCTAACTGACTCACTTAAGGTACCACACAAAGATGGATTCGCAAAGGTTCCTAAGTTCAATTTTCCTCCTAACTGGTGATGTGAGAACGTATCTAACTGACTCACTTAAGCTACCAAACAAAGATGGATTCTCAAAGGTTCCTAAGTTCAATTTTCCCCCTAACTGGTGATGTGAGAACGTATCTAACTGACTCACTTAAGCTACCAAACAAAGATGGATTCTCAAAGGTTCTTAAGTTCAATTTTCCTCCTAACTGGTGATGTGAGAACGTATCTAACTGACTCACTTAAGCTACCACACAAAGATGGATTCTCTCAATGCAGAAACAGGTATAGTAACGTAATAATACAGGTGTAAACAGGTGTATAAAAGAGCACACCTGTCTCCTCCAGTACCAACACACCTGTCTACCCCAGTACCAACACACCTGTCTACCCCAGTACAAACACACCTGTCTACCCCAGTACCAACACACCTGTCTACCCCAGTACCAACACACCTGTCTACCCCAGTACCAGCACATCTGTCTACCCCAGTACCAGCACACCTGTCTACCCCAGTACCAGTTCACCTGTCTACCCCAGTACCAACACACCTGTCTACCCCAGTACCAGCACATCTGTCTACCCCAGTACCAGCACACCTGTCTACCCCAGTACCAGTTCACCTGTCTACCCCAGTACCAACACACCTGGTGGCCGTCACTCATGCTCCCTCAGATCAGCTTCAGTACACAGATCTCCCAGACTTTTTACACACTGAGCCCACTGTCCTGATGGGTGACCTGAATACTAGACACAAGAAATTAGGTGACTCCACCACTAACACCAATGGTAGGAGACTTATCTCACTTCTCAGCGCATATGAAGATGTTCAAATTATAGGTAATAATGAACCAACACACATCTATGGCGGGGGTCTAGACAAATGTATTGGCTTTAATCTATCATACACAACTCATAGCTCTGATGTTGTCAATGATCTTATGTCTGACCACAGCCCAATCCAAGCTAGTATACATGTAGCCAATGACACCCCCACTGGTGGTAAACTCAACAGACGTAGAATCATAGTCAAGCAAGAACATGAAAGCCAGTTCATAGACTTCATCCATGACTGGTACAAGGACTACAAGCCTGACAACTACCAAAGTTTCCATGACGATCTGGTAGATAGGACTTATGCATACTTCACCAACAATGCCTCCACCAAAAAAAGGAGAAAACGTGGTCAGCATAATGGGAACAGGCAACAGCAGTGCTATAATGACCCTGAGCTGAAAAAACTCAGGGCTAGGGTCAGGAGGGTGGGTAAGGGTTATAGACAAATTAGAACACCTCAAATGTTACAATTGTATCAAGCTTCCCTTGCTGCTGTCAGGGAACGTGTAAACGAACTCAGACAAAATGCATGGGAGACATATGTCAACAGCCTGAACCAACACACATCCCTCAGCAAAGCCTGGAAAGACATAAACATAATCAGAGGTAAAAACAGTAGACACGTCTCCCATCCAAACCCTCTGCAAAAGTCGAATGAGCTAATAACATAGTGGGCTCATGTGTCTAGCTATGACATGTTACCAGCTGGGACTCGGGGACTCCTTGATGCGAAGTCTGTAGAGAGAAGTAATCTTATTAGCTTTATGCTGGGCAAACAGCACGATGAGTGTGATGTTCCATATACTGAGTGGGAACTTCACGCCGCCCTCGCCAGGGATAGGTCTACTTCCCCTGGAGAGGACGGAGTCACCTACAACATCGTTATACTACTAAGGCGCGTGCCAGGTAATCCATTGTTGGTATTGTACAATACGAGTCATGCCGAGGACCAACTACCCACATCATGGACCAGCAGTATTGTTGTACCAATACCGAAACCAGGACAGCCTGATGCTTTTCGTCCCATATCACTAACCAGCTGCCTGTGTAAAACCTTTGAGAGGATGGTTCTTGGCAGACTCTTATATAGAATCAGAGAACACGTGTCTCCTAACATAAATGCTTCACCCATGGTAAAGGTGTACATAATTGCATCACCACATTCCTAACTGTGCATGGTGATGAAAGGCACAGATACACCACATTTCTTGACCTAAAAGCTGCATTTGATATTGCCAATAGTCAACTGATATTGTACGAACTAGCCAAAATGGATATAGGAGGTAGGCTGTTACACTGGATAAGTGGTTACCCTAACCAATAGAAGAGACTTTTTCTGCACTGTTTCAGGAACTTACAAAAGTGAAGTTAAGATATGAAACTTAGGTACCCTCAAGGTGCGATCACTTAGCGCCACTTTGTTCAATGTTCTTATAGATGCATTATTAAATTTAATACCAGACAACCCCAGCAATATCTCAATCAGCCTACTGATGATATTCTTATACATACTAAAATTCATCGTATTTTAAAAACCACCCTGAACCATGTATACGCAGCCTGCAAGAACACCTCTCGGTCTTATTACCTCCAATGCCAGAAAACTAAGGTGTTCAACAAACAAGTGGTAACACAAACCTGGCCCCGCCAAGTTCAAGATGAGTAACAACACTATTGACTATGTTTCTTCTTTTAAATATCTTGGTGTTTCCCGTCCCTTGTACCCTACCTGCCAAACAACAGCCTAACGCCAATGTAC